CAGATGCAGAGTTGGAAACACTGGTTATAAGGATGCTCGAGGAAATTGGTGAGGACCTCAGCAGCATAAAAAAGATCCAGTCAGAAACAAAGGATTTACTAATTGAAATAAAGAACAATTCACAGGGAAATAGCAATAGAATGGATGAAGCCAAGAATTAAATCAATGATTTGGAACATAATGAGGCAAAAAACCACTACACAGAACAAGAAGAAAAAAGAATCCAAGAAAATGAGGATAGTATAAACAGCCTCTGGGACAACTTCAAGAGGTCCAACCTTCACATCACAGGGGTGCCAGAAGGAGAGGAAAAAGAGCAAGAAATTGGAAATCTGTTTGAAAAAATAATGAAGGAAAACTTCTCTAATTTGGTGAAGGAAATAGACATGCAAGTCCAGGAAGCACAAAGAGTCCCAAACAAGATAGATGCAAAGAGGCCCACTCCAAAACACACTACAATTAAAATGCCAAAGGTTAAAGATAAAGAGAGAATCTTAAAAGCAGCAAGAGAAAAGCAGTTAGTTACTTACAGGGGAGTTCCCATAAAACTGTCAGCTGATTTCTCAAAAGGAACTTTGTAGGCTAGAAGGGATTGACAAGAAACATTCAAAGACATGAAAAGCAGGGACGTACAGCTAAGATTGCTCTACCCAGCAAACCTATCATTTAGAATCAAAGGGCAGATAAAGAGCTTCCCAGAGAAGAAAAAACTAAAGGAGTTCATCATCACCAAACCATTATTATGTGAAATGTTAAAAGGACTTATTTAAGAAAAAGATAAAAACTATGAACAATAAAATGGCAAAAAATATGAATCTATCCACAACGAATCTAGAAAAACAAAGTAAGCAAACAAGAACAGAGACAGAATCATGGATACAGAGAGCGTTTTGATGGTTGCCAGATGGGAGGGGGTGTGGGGGAACAGGTGAGAGGTGAGGGGTCAGGAAGTACAAACAGGTAGTTACAGAATAGCCGTGGGGATGTAAAGTACAGTCCAGGAAATGGAGCAGCTGAAGAACTTACACACATGGCCATGGACGTGAACAATGGTGAGGGGATTGCCTGAGGGAGCTGGGGGTGCTTGGTGGAGGGGGGACAAAGCGGGAAATCAGGACAACTGTAATAGCATACTCGGTAAAATATAAATTTTTAAAAACCTTGTTTAAAATGTTTAACTTTTCAGCTGATACTCTTGTTCCCACTACTAGCGGCACATTAGGCACAAAGAAGCACCTGTCTGCTCTTACTGACGGGCCTGATGGAAACGTCCCCTCACACCTTTCACTTCTGAGACACCTGGGAGTTGCTCAAGGTCAGCCGGGTACAACCATCACAGTCCCTACTTCCAGTTAAGTCCATGGGGACCACGGGAAGGGCCGCCTCCCTCCCCAGCAGGGTGGAGATGTGAGGAAGCATCCTTAGAGAGAAGGGGGCCCCCTTCTCTGCCTCCCCAGTGGTTCCTCAGTGAGGGCCATGACCCAGGACCACCGCCCTGTCCTCGTTCTGGCCCTGAAGATAAGGGTGGGTCGTCAGGGCAGCCTGCAGACTGAGAAACGACCCGTGTCTCCCTGGGCTGGGCCGCCCCTCCCAGCCCTGGCCCTGTGACCTTGCTGAGGCTGAGATGGGGGAGGAAACAGGAGGATGACAGCAGTAGAAGGTCCCCTCTGCTCCCTGAGTCCTCACTGCGCACCCCAAGCAAGAACAAGGGTTGGTGGCTGTGCCACCCCTCCGCTCCACCCACTCCCACAGACAGCAGTGCAGCAGGGCCCCAGGGCTCTGTAGGACCCCTTCAAGGCCGGCCACCTCAAGGAAGCAGCTGGCACAGCCTGAGCTCTGGCTGCCACGCAAGGACTGTCTTTGAGCTACCAGGCTGAAATGTCCACGTGTATAAACTGGGGGCAGGCAAACCTCCCAGACAGGCCCGGATGATCCCAGCTTTGGTGGGACAACGGGAAGCCTTCTGTCCCCAGTCCGCAGTGGCTTAAAGGGTGATTAAGACGTGCCCTGGAGCCAATAGTGGGGTGTGTACCGGTGGCAGGGATCGCTGGGCCAAGGCCTCCATGTCCTTCATGCTGGTATCTGGCCCCATTTCTCTTCCTGGCCTGGGCCACACCTGTCACCAGAGCTGGGCAATACAGTTCAAGGTTGTGGCCCCTAAGCTTCAGGGCTGTGGGGCAAAGCATTGCCCCACCCTAGCCTGGCCCTTGGGGACCACAGAGGCCATTGCCTCTTCCTCTCTCACACCTCATTCCTTGGGGTGGGCCCTAGCCCACCCCTGTGCCCTTGGCCCTGGTTCGGGGCCACTGCCCACCCATGTAGGTGTGAAGATGCAGAAGAGCCGCGTCCTCATGGAGTCTGTGGGATCAGCAGGTGGGGCCTCCGAGAGGGGTGCTCGCCATGCTGTGAAGTGCTTTGGAGGCTCTTTCTAAGCAGATGCTGCCTCTGGGACCAGGCAGGGTGACACCCCGGCTCCTGGGGGTTGGGGGAGGTAACCTGCTCCCCTTTGCAGAGCAGGGGCACGTGGCTTGGGGAGGCCAGGGTGGAAGGAGGACCCAGCGGAGCTGAGCATGGCGGGTGACAGTTAGGATAGGAGAGGCCCAGGTGGCAACACGGACAGTGGCCACGGAACTGCAAGAGGAAGAATATTTAACCAAGATTTCAAAGTCTGTGAGGGAAGTCACACCCTCCAGGAAAGCCTAGAATGCTCACGTGCTTCTGAGGGACTGGATTCTTTCTGGTGGACACGAAAAGAGGCCAGTGCAAGGAGGGAATGGAGGCTGGGGCTGGGCCGCAGGAGCTGGGGGCCAAGAGGCAGCTGGCAGCTGTCCCAGGGTGGCTGGGACAGCTGTGGGTCTCGGAAGGGACTGGAGGGGACATTCTAGCCTCACTGGCACCTCCCAAAGCACACGGTCTCCTGTTCCCCTCAGCAAGGAGGGCTCGGCCAGGTGCCAGGTCCCAGGAGAGTGGGCAACAGCACCTTCTCCCTGCAGGGCTGACCCGAAGGCAGTGAGTTCGCTGCGGGATCAGCGCTTGCAGGAGACCCTGCCTCAAAACACCTACTCCAGGCATTTGGACGGATGGCAAATCTGTTGCTACTTTCTAAGTGAAGGAGAGAGAAGAGAGACGCTCTTCCACAGCGTTCCCCGCTGAACTGGGCACAGTGCGTCTCTCTGGGTCAGGAATGCCCCTCCATCTTCCTTCTCGGCAGCTCTCATCTCAGCCATGGGTGCTGGGCAGGAACTGTTTCTGCTGCCTTGGGTGGTGTCTGACAGGGAGCAGTTGCTTAATGCACGTGAATGGAATAAATGAATGAGTGAGTGAGTGAATGAGGGGAGGATGGGAGGGAGGAGGGAGGGAGGAGGGAAGGAGGAGGGAGGAGGGAGGGAGGGGTGAATGAGTAGGTCCAGGCCTGGTGATGCTCAGGATCTCGGCGCCGTGCCTGTGCCCCCCACTCCATGTCCCCTCACTGGCCTGTGGCCAGGAAAGACGCTGGCCGGCCTGCAAGCCCCTTCCCCAGGCCCTCCCAGAGTCCTCTGACTGGTGCTGAGAAGAGTCAAACTCTTGCTCAGCAGACCTGGGGTCTTCCCCCAGTGCCTGCCGCTTCTCACGTCCCACTGCTGAGGTGGCCGGGAGCGAGGGCAGTTGGGCCGCCCGCCCGAGAGAAGGAGAGAACGAGAGAGAGGATGAGAGCAGAGCAAACGGCCCTCTCAGAGTCCCGGAGCTGGGACAGAGGCCAGGGATCGTGCACCGTTGCTCCCTCTGGGGTTTCGCAGGACAGACAGACTGACTGACCGACCTGGAACCAGTTCCTGTGGCTGTCACAGCAGCACTCTGGGCGAGGCCTGGACCGGCGGTGAAGCGGTGGCTCAGTGGCCAGGAAGACATGGACAGGGGGCAGCGCTGCCCTGCCGGAGGGTGTGAAGCAAGACAGGGTACTTCACCTGTCCACGTGCCCACACGGGGGCACCCGAGGAACAGCTGTGTAGAAGTGCTTGAGGGTTGGTTGATGCCAAGACAGCGCTGGGCACGCAGGGGACGCTCAGCAAGAGCCACTCACCAGCATGTAACCCTCTGCCCCGCGAGGACTCGCTGGGTGCAGCCACCTCCTCTCTGGCCGTTTTATGACTGTGGGGGCTGAGGCCACAGGAGGCTTCAGCACCAGAGGACATGTGTGTGTGAGGGGTGTGTGTGAGGAACATATGTGCAATCGTGTGTGAATGTGCATGTGTGGGCATGTCCATCCACATGTGAGGATGTGTGTGTAGTGTGTGTAGTGTGTGTGAGCATGTGTGAGACTGTGTATGCCTCTTTGTGCACATAGGTCCCCACAGTGTATAGACCACTCAGAAGGACAGTGCGAACCTGCCTCTCATGATGTTCTGTGTCACTGGATTTCTCTCTGCCTCCCCTCAAGGTCGCCGCAATGCCCTTCACTGTGGGCAGCACCGTGGCTCTGGGAGCTCTCCATCCACAGTCCCTGTCTTCCCAAAGCCCACGTGGTGGCTGGCACGGAGAAAGTCCCAACGTGTGGAGCAGGCGCCAAGGGTGAATCCTGAGTGGGAGGCCTAATCCCCTGGACAGCCTGGCCACCCTCAGGGGGCCAAACCCTGGGCAGAGGGGTCCACTGTGCTGTCACCAGTGCCCAGCAGGCAGGGCGTCAGCCCAAGGCCCAAGGCCACGTGGTCACTCGGTCCCCCAGGCGGAGCCACATGCCGCTCAGAGACCAGGCCCAGCCCCAGGCCTCCAGTTTCAAGAGCCCATGTTTCAGACTAAGTCTGCTCCCCGGCCTCCCCAGCAGCCCAGCCTGATGAGGAGGCGTGGACTCAGGCTCCTGGGCTGACTCTGGATCAGACAATGAGGGGACTGCTCAGAACATGGGCTGGAGTCCCAGCCCCCCACCCGCACCCACACCTCAGTTGGTCCTGCCCTGGGCCGAGCTGGCCTGAGGAGCTTCCGAGCAGCCTCACCGGCTGGGCCGGGGGTGAGGCCACACTCACCTTTCCAGCCCTGAAGACATCTCTTCACTAAGCTCTGAGCTCTCACTACTGCCTGGAAAAGGAACACAGATCAGTGAGCAGGGCGGCCGCAGCCAGGGGGCCAGCCCCAGAGGGACCTCTTCTCCTGGCTCACTGGGCCCAGGCCCCTGGGCTCCGGGGCAGTGCTGGAGCAGCAGCTTCCGGACCCTGTGGGTGTCACTGTGACGGGGGTTTGCTGCCCCTATGTCTGCCTCTCTGTCCTGGGAGGGTCCCTCTGTTCCCAGGTGGGTCCTCCACTCCCTTCCTGCTGCCCACTGGGGGTGGGCATTGCAGCAGCCTGTCCCGGGACCACTGGGGTCCTTAGCCCTCTGTTGGCCCGGCCCGGCTCCCCACTGCCTCCCTTCTGGCCAAGAAAAACCAGTGCCAGCACAGCCCTCACCTGGTGAGGACAGATGCCAGATAAGCCCTTCTTCCCCCAAGGGTCAGGTCCTAACTAGACACTGGTCACTGGGTAGCTGCCCAGCATTAGACAAAAGCCTCAAGGGAGGGTCCCTTTAGACAACTGGCTAGTTTCCAAACGGGGGAGCTCAATCCCCCCCTCCCCAGGCCTGCTTCTCTGGGGCTGACTCAGACATCCTGCCTCTCAGGGCCCTCCAGGGCCTGCCCCCAGCCACAAGGACAGCAGGGAGATCTTATTCTGTCACTTCGCTGATGCCACATGCCTTGGTACTGCCCCTTAGGCCTCAAGGCACCTGGGTTCAGCACACTTTGCCTGGGCTACCTGATGGCATCAAGGCCGGGCATTTGGAAAGGGGAGTGGGGGTCTCAGGCCTGAAGGGAGCTACAGGACAGAGAGGACCAGCTCGGCTCCCAGCGGGGCACATGCGCATGGCGACCTGCTCCTGGGCTTTCAGCTCCGGTCGGAAACAGCGCGAGCTCCTCAAACGCAGGAGCTGAGAACCGAAGTGCCTGCTGGCTTCCCGCCTGGGTACCAGGCAGCCCTGCGTCCTCCTCAGTGTCCTGTTCAGGGAGGGCAGGGCCTGGGCTGCTCCGGCACAGCTCAGGAAGTTTCTGGATGTCAACAGCTGAATGCTCTTGGGCCGACATTTCCCAGCTTGGCTCAGACCACATCCCACAGCACGTGCCGCTCAGAGGAGAGGGTTCCGTGATTCGACACTGGGGGACCTGCAGACTCTGCTGCCTCCTGGTGGCCCACAATGCCCTCAGCATTTTAAGGTCTCTGAGAAGACTGCTCCCCTGGTTTAACCAGCCTGCTCCCGACATAATGCCCCTGGGACTCTTCTCTGGGGTGCATGTGCCTCTGAGCCACACCAATGTCCATTCCCGACTAGGTCCCAGCAGGATGACCCCACCCCAAGACAGAAGGCAGACAGGACCCTGCTTGTCACTTGCTGGTGGTGGGAGATGGCTGTCCCTGGAGGGATGTTGCCTCAGACACTGGCCACATGCCGCTGGCACATAGGACATGAGATTCCAGCCCATTTTTCCTACCCCCACACCCTTTTCCTCTTCATACATGTGGGCCCTTCACCCTGCAGGCCTCGCCAGATCAAACCCCAGCCTAGCAACTGTCTAAACTGCCCCTGGCACTGGGAGGGCTCCTCATTAAGGAAAGCAGACAGACACACAGACACAAGGACTACAGAAGCACAGGCACGCCGAATGGGCACGGCCAGCAGAGAGCGCTCTTGTCTGATGGTGGCAGTGACAGGTGGCCTGGGCACTGCAGGGGGGCGGAGCCCAGACCACAGCTCAGTGCCACCCTCTGCTCTGACTCTGACCACCTCCCCACGGGCCTGAGCAGCACGGTCCCTTCTGCTGACGCAAGCGCTGTTTCCCGAGGAAGCTCAGGCATGCCATCTCACCCCCCAACCCTGACTTTCTGGTGTGAGGACAAGCACACATGTGAGCGCCTGGTGGCCCATCAGCGTCCTCAGGCAGCGTCCCCAGCTCTGCCCTGCTGGCTGGGGCCTGTGGCTCCCCCAGGGGCAGCAGCCCAAACAAGGCCTTGGCCCAGCTTGACGGCGGGTCTCCAGTATGTGTCTGGCCATTCCTTCCACCTGCTTGCCATGCTCAGGGCCACCAGCTGGATGAGGAAAAGCCCAGGTCACTTTGTGATAAGCCCCTGGCTCTGGTGACTCCTGCAGGGAGCTTTCTCTGCAGGGCTGGGGGGCTGCCGGGCACCGCACAGTGACAGACAGACATGAGCACACGCTGGGCCGTGGCCGCCCGCTGGCGTGTGCAGGCCAGAGACGCTTACCTAGGGAGAGTCCATTGGTGATGGCGGAGGAGGAGGTGAGGGCGAGGCCCCTGCGGGGGCTGCGGGACTCTAGGACACTGTCATCCAGCAGGTGCCTCGCTTTCTCCGATGGGAAAGTTGCACTTTTACTCTCAACTACACTCAACTGACACATCATACTGGAAAACGGAAAGGAAGAGAGAAGGCAAAGCTCCTTATCTGTGGAGTAACAGTGGCGCACCTGCCCTGGGCTCCTGAGTGGTCGGCGCGCCTGCAGGACACGGAGCTCTGCCCAGAACCCAGCGTAAGTGCGGTCTCGGCCCCATCTCACGGCGTGACCTTGGGCAAGTCACATCCCTCATTTGGGCCTCCGTTCCCCCTGTTAGGTGGGGACTAACAGTACTTGCCCTGCCTGTCTCCCAAGATGATTATGAGGCTCTGGTGAGTGGGTGGTGCTTGTGAGTGACGGGGCACACAGCGGTGGGGGAGTGCGCCCCTGTGGTCATCAGGTCTGGTTCTGGAGTCGCACACACAGGGGCCAGAGCCTTGCTCCAATCTCACGCACTACCGCACGGTACTTCACCTCCCCGCCCCCAGCCCAGAGCCTCACTGGACTCACTGTTACGGTGCCCACTGCACAGCGCCAACCCAGAGGCCCCAGGGGGCACGATGAGACCATGCCTGACAGGCACGGAGCAGGCCCTGAACACTGAGAGCAACCACTTTCTCATCCAGTCCTAGGGGCTCCAGCACCAGCCTGGGCTGGCTGTGGCTTGTGTCTTAGTGGCGAAAGGCAGGAAGGCAGGGAGGAAAAGGGAAGATGGGAGGAAGAAAGGAAGCAACGGGCCTGGAGGGAGGGATGGACCCAACTGTTTAGGAGCCTGTGCCCAACACCCTGGGGACATGGGCATGGCTTCTGGCCACGCCAAGGACCACACGTGTCCCCTAGCTGTCAACCCACAGGGCCACTGTTCTGCAAGCTCCCTCCAGCACTTAGCAAGCAGAGCCACTGAGCCCCGAGACTGGCAGGCACTGTGAGACGACTGGTGCTGGCTGCACAACAGTCACAGAGCCTGCTGGACTCAGGGCTCACACGAGGGTGGCACTAATGGAGCTGGGGTGACCTTAGGGAGGAGTCCCACCGCTGCTTCTTTGCCCGTCCCTGCATGAATCCTCCATCGGCTACTGAGCCGGTGACAGCTGTCGCCAGCACCGCCCCGGCTCCTCCTCACCAGTGCAGGGAGAGGTCACCAGCCGGGGATACCAAGAGTACTTGTCAGAAACTCCCAGATGGGTGGGGAGAACTCTGGTGGGCAAGCACTCCCAGCAGCCCTTTAGTCCTCAGCCCATGCCCAGCCCATCTCCGGTCGGAGTGGGGCTCGCTCGGTTACCCACTTGTTGCCCAGGCTGTGGCTCTTCCTGTGTCTCGGGACTGGGGGTGTGGGGAGGCTGCCAGCAACGGATGTGTCAGGGCAGGTGGGCCTCCGGCTGAACCTTGCAGGACCGGTGGAGGGGCCTGTGAACAGAGCAGAGAGCGCGGTGATGGGGGCTGTGAGGCACAGGGGCCAGGGACCTGGCTCTGGGGCAAGGCCCTGGGCCGGGCTGTCATAGATGGACAAGGGTCATCAAGCCCCATGGCTTTCTGCTCGTGAGACTCTGACCAGTGTAGCTAATGCCCGGGTCAGTCAAAATAGCCAGTGTCCTGCTGTGCACAGCACCTGGTAGGGCATGACTTATGCGAGGCTGCCCAGCTGGGTAACAGAGTGGGGACTTGACAGTAAGTCTTCTGACTCCAAGGCTGGTGCTCTCCCCCCTGTCCACCCCGCCCCCCCACGGCCGCTTTCTCTACCCACTTGTGCAACAAAAGGGACAGAGAGCTTATGAGGGGAGGCAGAGGACTTCCTGCATGAGGGCACAGCTGTGCAGACAGGGGCTCAGACACTGGGCCCATCAGTTACAGCCTTGGTGACCTTGGAGAGGTTACTTAACTCATTCCCTTGAGACTCAAGTCTCCTCATCTGAAAAGTGGAAATAATTCAACTCACCTTGCAGGGGGCTGGGAGGAGCCATGAGGTAATGTATGCAGAGTTCACAGTTAGCACTCATACTTGTTCTGTTACAATTATTAGCATGTCTTCCAGCCCCAGTATGGGGGACCACAGGGGGTCACCAGAGTCAGGAGGTTGGGGCCACAGTCCCATGGAGCACCATGGAGCCTTCCTCCTGGCCACACCACAGCCACGTTTGAGGGGTGTGGTCCTGCCCACTGCTGTACTCTTTAGTACTGACTGCACCCCGTGGCTCAGGAAGGGAGGGGACCCCAAGATGCTAAGCCTTAGCTACCAGGGCATTGCACTTCCTATAGGGCACAGCACACCCAGCCAATCGGGGGCTGCTGCCTGGCTGTGCTGGGGAGCTTTCCGGGGGCCCTGCGAGGCCTGCACTGCCTCCAGAGTTCCAGGTCCTCCACCACAAGCTGGTGCAGATCCACCAGGGACTGATGGTTCCTCCAGCATGCCTGGCCCTTTATTTCTTTAATACCACAGCCTGTCCCCCTCGGACGGCTGGCTCGCTTCCGGCACTTGGGAAGGTTCCCGAGGCAGGGCAACTCACGTCTCCTCGAGCTCTGAGTCTCTGCTGCTCCCTCCCATCCCGCTCTGCACACACACCTTCTCCTTCATGTCGCCAGGGCCCCACCACCAATCCCTTCATTAGGTCATGGCCAACTTTCTACGCAGTTCCCCTCACCAACTCTTAGCAAACGTCACCTCTCTCCCGAAGCCCCCGCACAGATCACGGCTCCCCTCACTCTCAGATGACGGCACCCTCTCCTTCCACGAAGATGCCGTGGCTGTCAGGTCCCATCTCGCACCGGCCCTGCTGTCCCCACGTACACCCCATCCACACTGGCCTTCCCGTCGGGCCTGGGGCAGGGGGGCTCCTCCATCCAAGGCCAGTCTCTCCTCTCCAGTCCTTCCTGCTTCCTCTGAGCATTCATTTGCTCCATCACTTTTCCCTTCTCCCTCTGGCCCCTGACCCAGCCTACCAACACACCCCAGTCTCTTGTTTTCTGTGAAATAAGGTCTCTTGGCCCCAGAGCTTCCTCCCTGCCAATCACGCTTCCTCACACAGAGGCCTGTGCTTCTTGTTGCTCTGCCTCTGTCTCTCTCACTTACCCCTCGAGGCACTAAAATCTAATGACATTTCCATTGATCTCATTTTTGCCAAACCAACGAACACTCATCGGCTTCTCACCAGAGCCCTTGGCACACTGGTGATGCCACTGTTTGCAGCCCAAGGAACCTTAATGAGGGGACCCCACCACACTTCATTGCTTCGGGGTGCAGCTACCTGGACGGCTTAGCCTGGTGGCAGGGTACAGGGCACACCATCCTAGGTAGCGATTCCAGCTTGTACACGGCGTCTTACGAACACGGCTCTGACAGACCAACCCCTAAGACTGTCATGTGCTGCTTAGCAACGACAGGACATGTTCTGGGTGCGCTGGACCAAGCCTGGGGGGGCAGTCCGCCACACGCCTGGGCTGCACGGCGCTGCTCCCGGGCTCTAGTGCTCCAGCTACAAGCCCACACAGCACATCACTGTTACAACAACAGGAGATTAAATCGAGCAGAGGAGAAAATGACGCAACCCAGACTCGGAAACCATGAGATGTGTGAGGTTGCTGCTGGTGTGGTACAGTAAACTGTTTTCCAGCAGTTTTTTTACAAGTGGAAAGAATACACTTTAAAAATTATGATTAAAAGTATAGTAAATACATAAGGCAGTTAACATAGCCATTTATTATCATCGTTAGGTCTCACGCACTCAACACAGCTGTACGTGCCACACCTTCACGTGATGGCGGTGCGGTGGCTTGTCCACACCACCACCACCACCACGAACACATGGACAGCTATGGCGCCGCGTGGGGGGTGCTGATGCTGCAGCTAAAGCACAAACGCAGCTGCACTCTTTCCTGGCGAGCAGCTCCACACTGTCCATTGGCTCCTTTGAGGCTGCGGCCCTTGCCCAGGGCCGGCAGCAGTGTCCTCGGGCGAGCGTGTGGGAACGGAGGTTCTGACCACAGGGCCTCGGGCGGGCTGGGATGGCTCTCCCCGCGATTCTGGGGAACGCCCCGCGGCAGAACTCCCGCTCACAGAGTTGGAGCGAAAGTGAGCTCTGTCCCGGAGGAAACATCTCGTGCAGCCGCTCCCGGGAGGAAGAGGCAGGGTGGAAGCCACGCTGCTGTTTTGCTCTGCACATGCTGCTCAGTCACAGAGTCCGTGCAGAGGGCGGAATTCGCCTTGTTTATCAGTGGGACTGCGGCCTCCCTGCCTGAGTCACGCTGGCTCCTACCCCAAGTTCAGAAAATGTTTTGTAAAGGTCAAGTCCTGTGGCTCCTCCCCTGCAGTCTGAACTGGAACTCAACTCTCTGGCGCTGTAGCAGTGACAACTGCGGGTTGGACATCCTGTGCCTGGCACATGCTGTGCACACGGGCTGCAATTCATGGAGTGGGCACACTTAGTAGGCCCACTTGACAGGCAAGAAAGCCCGGGCGTGTATGCCTCCTACACACAGGACTTGAACACAGGGGTACAGCGTGGTGGGGGAGGAGCTCTACAGTTCGGAGGCCAGGCCTTTGTGGGGGAAGGTGGGGGGAGGTGGGGGAAGAAGGAACACACTCACATGTTCGAGGTGAGCTGAATGGCAGGAAGCACTTCCCTTGGGCAGCGTGTAACGAAGAAGGCAGTTGCTACTTGTGAGGGAAGGAAGGTGAAGGACACTAATGTGCGATGCACTGATGGGGTGCCAGGCTTGTCTGGTCGCTTCCATACCCCAGTCCATTGAGTCCTATGCAGTGACTGCTTCGACTATCACTGTTTTAAAGGAGATGCTCAGAGTACACCCGGTCAGGTGCTGGAGGGGTGCTGGGTGTGTTCTCTGAACCAGCTGCGAGTGCAGTGAGGGCTGCACCATTGAGGCTCTTCGGGTAACATCCTAGGCCTTCCTGCTCACTCCTTCTGCATATGTCTCCCCGTGGTTCCCGCTCCTGCCTCTCATCACCATCTTCCAGTTCTCTCAAGCCTCCAATTCGATCTCTGTCTCCTCCATTTGGCTCTTTACTCTCCCTCCAGGAAGAGGCCTGGATCTGCTCCTTCTTTTTGAAGCATCGGATGGCCTTGGGAAGCATGGCTGGCCTCAGATGCTCCTCAGTACAGCGGGGGGAAGGGTGGGGGGCCCAGGCAAAAGTGGCTGTGATCTCCCAGGGCCCAGGGTCAAACAAACGCCACTTTGGATGCCCTGGGTCTTGGCCGCTCCCACCCACTGCATTGTTGACCAACAGCCTGGATCTGACGCTGAAGCCGAGGAATTTCCATTCAGCTGGGACCTAGGAGTGGGGGTGGCCTCTCTGGCAGTAAGTGACACTCTGCTACTGAAAGGCCTCACGTTCCTGCACCACTGAGCCTGGGATGGCCACCATGTGACAGCACCAGGGACACGTGTCTTCTGGAACAGTTAGTTTCTGAGCTAGGCAGCTGACAAGTGCTGTTTTCTCCATGTTCTGCGGGCAGGGGCAGAGGTGGGGCAGTGCTAATGAGCTGGGGTTCTGGCCTCGCTTAGCAGAGTGTGGTCCCCACTGCCTGGCCTGATATGGCATGGACAGCTGGAAAAACTGACCATGTGGCTCGACTATCTCAGAGGATTGCTCTATTTTTCCTCAGCATAATTTTTCCATGAATAATCTTTAAAGCTCTTTAAGTGGCTGTTTCTTCAGCAGTTTTATTGGAATATATGAGAGCTGACAGTCTGTGGGGAGTGAGATATCACGTTGGGAAAAAAATCTGGTTTTCATTACATTTTTCTCAAGAAACCAACAGGCTGCCCAACAGCCCACTTGTTGATTGGTAGAGAACGCAGCACAGGCCTCCTGATCATGACTCTGGCATGGACAAGATTAAGGGTGACGGACGGCAATGGCAAAGACCTTGGGATCCAGAGGCAGACAGACCTGGGCCCCCACTGGTACTTGCCACTCGCAGGCTGAGTGAAGGGCAAGTCACCTCGAACCTCTGAGCCTGAACTGCGCATTGACCAGGCGGGAACAGTGGCCTAACCTGGCAGACCCCCAAGAGGAGGAAAGGATTTGTACCCCACCCTCCCTCTTGCGGTGGGTGTCCCCTGGCCCAGGCCGGGTGACGCATAGCCAGGCCGAAGTGGAAAGCTGCCATGCTGGGGTTCACAGCCTACGGGGCAGGGACAGGAACCTGGTGGTTACACCTGCGCAGACACCTGCTTCAACAGGAGAACCCTAACAAGACATCGGGTACCAGCAGCAACCATACCAACAGTAGAACTACCCTAGCGATAGCAACGGTGGTAATGCCAATGGTTGACATTCAGCAAGCGTCTATAAAGCGCCAGAAGTGGTGTTCCCCCTTGCACACAGGCACTGCCACTGTCTCCATGCTGAGATGTGGGCCCTGAGGTCGGAAGGGTTTCAGAGCCTCCAG